TTCACAACTCATATTACAATCTTCTTTTCCTTTCTAGTTTTATAAAAATTCTCTCTTTTATTTTGCTTTTCAAGTTTACGGATTTTACTTTGTTTTTAAATATGCTAAGTATGACTTTTTTCATGCGTAGCTAATTTTCTCATAAGCCGAGAGCTGAAGCGATGACTCAATTCTAACGGGAGAATTAAAACAGACCCTTAATAACTTCGGAATATCTCTCTCAATATCTGCCGTTATTTTTCAAAATCAAAACAGTTTTCAAAATCAAAGATTGACTTTGGTCAAGAGGTTGTTGCGATTAAATATGTGGGAGGAAGGATCGGCTTATTGAAAGCATATTCGACTTACTGGGAACACACTTGGCGAGATAACTTCGCCAAGGGGGAAATGAGATCGGAATTAGTGGCTATTGAAGCAACAACCCGAGTCGGTCGCCACGAACTTAAACAGTAATTGATCTACGACAATTGATGTTAATTAGATCAGTTTATGAAGCCGAAATCAAAGATTGCCTTGGGTATTCAGAATACAAAATAGTCACGGGGATTGTCCTTGTAGACAAAGTAACCGACGTGAATCCCGAAGGGAAAATCTAATTCGATGATATGAAAGAAATTGAGTAAAAGCGAAGCTTAATACTATTTTTACCATATCCATTTACAATCTTTACTCTCCTAATTTTAATTGCCTTCATTTATTTAATCTGTTTTACTACTTAATCACATTTTAAACAAAACCCCTAGTACTTTTCACCTGGTTAAAACCATTCAAACAGAAATTTGGAATTTTACCAAGTTCCTGAGGATCCACCCTTACTTCTCTTTACAACGAATTTTCTTATTTATTAACTGAGAAGAATGAATTTTATTTGACATCAAAACGACAATTGTCAAAAGTATATATAATTATAATTATAATTTTATTCGTATAGTGTATATTTTTTTAATTTTGATTGCAACTATAAAATATATTATTTATAAAAATAATTATAACTTCAAATTATATGAACAATTATATATATATATATGCGCGCGCGCGTGAATCTATTAATACATTGACCAAAAATAATTATCAGGAGCATCTATTTAGGAGCATCTATTAATACATTGACGTTGTGTTTAATTCCCACTCACCTACAAATATTAATATACTACTTTTGTCCGAAACTATTATATTATTGTTTTAACACCTAATATTGTTAAGCTAAAGTATACACACGGCACTTTGATTATAAGCTATTATTATGTTGAGTCCTTCGACTATTAGAAGTTATAAAATTGTTCTATGATTATAATATGTTGTTTTATTGAGTTTATTGACTATTAAAAGTTATAAAATTGTCATATAACTATTCATATGTTTCAAACTCATAATTGTTTTGTTAAAATTTGACAAAAGTCTAAGCTATATGTTAATATGATGATTGAGATATGATAGTTGTTTGAAATTTTGGGATCAGATTTTATCATACTCCAGTCAGAAAGTTAATATTCAGCTCAGACTGCCGTCAATTTTTTAATTGAAAAAAAGGAAGAGTTTGAAACATACGAATAGTAGAATGATCTTGTAACTTTTAATAATCGGTGACTCAACAAAGTAACATCTTATAGTCAAAGGGTCATTTTGTTACTTTTAAAAATCGGAAGACTCAACAAAACAATGCTTATAATTAGGAGACCATTTAAGTAGTTTACTTATATTCTCACTTTAATTTTATTTTAAAAATATCAACATTAAATACACAAAAAGTCAAATTTTTCTACCCGTAGAAGTCAATAAAACATATTTTGGGACGAATAATGTCTTTCTTCATTATTTCGACAGAAAAGAAAGACCAGGTTTTGGACAAAGTTGAATTGAGCTGATCTTGATTCTTTAACTATAATACGTGACATCAAATTATTAAATATCGACGTGACATTCAAGTTTGAAGCTTTTTTAATAATTATAATTGAATTTAAAATTAAAATTGTTTAATTAAGTTAAATTATTTATGTAATAAAAAATAAAACACGATTTGGTTAGAAAATTTAAAAATAAATAAAACCAAAAGTGATATGTTATTGTGTTGGGCAAAAAATTGTGTTGACATTGATAACGACATGAAAATGTCAAAAGCTCGAGTAAGAATAAATAGAATCGGTATTGTGTTTACATCTGCAGCTGTCAATTTTTAATAGATACTACATGATTTTCATAAATAAATTAATATTGGATTCAAGTGTATTAAATTTTTTTTGTATTATTATTCTCAAAAAAGTTGTTGTACTATATTTATTTATTTATTTATTTGTTTAACTCAGTTATTGTACTATGTTTAAAATTTTATTTTGATTTATCTATTATATAGAGAGATATTTTACTCTATCATACTTAAATTTTTATTTATTTTTATATTTTTATTTTAAAAGGGTATATTTTAGTCTTATAAATTTGAAAAATTAATATTTTAAATTATAGTTAGTTGACTAAATATTTTAGTTTAAATACCTTTTAAATTCTTATTAATTTTAAATTCGTACACGTTTGAAAAGAGAGTAATTTATTTAATGTATATTTTGAAAGTGAGTCAATAAAAATGATCTACAATGCTGTTGATTTCTTCTACCAGTAGATGTCACATGTCTAATTATAATTAGATAATTTTCATATAATATAAAAACATATACACATATAATTTATAATATTTTTCATAATTTTGAAAAATTGAAAAAATTATTGAAATTTTAAATATTTTCATGATTCTTATATTATCTTTTTCAATTAAACCCTTACTCTCGCTCCAAATTTAAAAAATCTAAAATATTCAATTTATTTTTTTAGTTAAACATTTTAAATATTATTTCATATTTTGACTTTTAATTATAATATTATTACAAGTGGAGACAACAGAATTTGGAGTTAGAATATGAATTAATTTTACATTTAGATTTCATATATGTTTGCAAAATTATGTAGAAGTTAACAAAAATGTATACAGAGAGATTAATTTGTTAGAAGTCGAAATTTTAAAAGAATAAAAAAGTGTTTAAGCAACTAACAACAAACTTCAGCCTTTTGGATTAAAATGTTACTTTTCAAATGTATATGGATTAACATGATTTTTAAAAAAAAGAAAGTGATTGAATACATAATTTTTTTTGATAAATTTTAGATTTAATCCTAATTCTAACTAGGGATGGGCATGGGTCGGGTTAGGTTTTTGGGACCCTACCCGAGAACAAGGGATCCTCCATCCGACCGACCCGACCTGTCCAAAACAAGATTTCACCCGACCCGATATACAACTTAAAAACTTGATCCAACCCTACCTGAAACAATAAAAAATATTATTTAATAAAATCAATGACTTAATTGAAAAAAAATAATATATAGAGGGATATTATTGTAATTATTCCAAAATATATAAGGTAAAATTATATTTTTTTGGGTCGGGTCGGGTCGGGTATTTTTTACCCTAAACCTGAACCCCACATTAAAAAAATCCGGCCCGACACGATTCGACCTCGATTTTTTTTTAAAAAAAAACTCGACTCGATCAGATCGAGTCGAAACCCATCGATTTCGGGTCTTATGCCCATCCCTAATCCTACTTAGAAGAGAAAGAAAGGAGGGATTATGGAAAAAGGAAGAGGAGCGCTCCTAGTGAGTCTAGAACCTATGATCTAAGAGAATACGAGAAATAAAAATGAATGGTTTGGTCAAACGTATTAATAAGTTTTAATCTAGATTTAACTTTTAAATATACTAATGAGACTAAAATGATTTCTTTTACAGTTGAAGACAAAATCACTATACTTTTTAAATTAACACTAAAACTATTAATAGGTTTTAATCTCTAAAGTTATTGTACAATAAAAAAATATTATTTATACATAAAAATAAAAAAAATATTAAAATCCAAACTCTAAAAGATCAGAATCCACAACATGCTTCAAGAGTCATCATCTCATCCATTAAATAGAACTGCAATTATATCAAATGTTAAACCATACATAGTGTCTTACAAGTGTTATACTACAAGTAGTAAATGGCCATAAATTTTGAAACTAAAATATATTAATAATAGTGCCGGCCATTCTTTTTTGACCAATATGACGTTACCATTAACTCAGTTACACGTCTGGATTAAAATCAAACGGTTCCGCTCAAATGCATAGATGAGATAAGATAAATAGTAAATTATTCGAGATTACTTTAATTTTAAGTTTGATTAATTTTTAGATTGAATAATTTTAATTTTAATTTGAACTCAATTAGATTTTTAATCATTCAAAGCGAGTTATTTAATATCCGACTCGAAAATCTCATGAATAATTCAAAAATTAATTTATTAAACATTTAAATTGTTTAATTTAAATTATTAGTAATATTTTTTGTAATTAAAATTATTAATAATATTAATATTTATATGTCGTTCTTTTTTTTTAAAAATAGAATATAAAACTTTTATGTACTTAAGGTTTAGTTTCAAGTTTGAGTTTGAATTTCAATCGAGTTACGTCTGAAAATATTTGGAGTTCAAATTTTCTCAAGCTTGGGTCAAACTTCAATTTTTTTATTTTAAGTTGAGCTTAAAAATTTTAAGCTTGTAAGTTTTTGAGTTGTGTCTAGCTCAATTTTTTTTATTTTGAATTTGAGTCGAACTTAATAATTTTAAGTTTGTGAGTTTTCGAGTCGAGTTAAATTTAATTTTATATTTTTTGAGTATAGTCAAACTTAATTTTATACTTTTGAAGTCGATTCTCAAGCTTAAATCGAGTGGTTTTCAATCTTACCAAGGGCGAAATTTTAAAATTTATAAAATGAACTTACAAATTTTGAGAAAATAAAAATAAATTATCAATAATATATATATATATATATATATATATATAAATATTTAAAATATATAATAATTTGAAATTTTAAGAGTTGACCCTCCATTCCTACGTCCATCCTCACCGTCTATAAAAGAGCACTTAATCACAACGTCTCTCACGTTCTTCAACAGACACAGCACAAGAAATCCAAAAACAATGGCGTTTTGGCGCATTTTCATTTGTTCCTTACTGCTATCTTCTTTAAGAATGGCATCAGCTTCCTTTTACAGGCCTAGAAAAAGGCCAACTCAAACTTTTACTCAAGAAAGGTTTATCCAGTGCTTTAATGGCAACTCCCCGTTTGCCATACCCCTCTCCACTGCCTTTTTTACCCCCAGCAACGCCTCCTTTTCCTCGGTGCTACAATCGACAGCCCAAAACCTCCGGTACTTAGTGCCTTCCATGCCGAAACCCGAGTTTATCATCACTCCGTTGCATGAATCCCATGTTCAAGCTGCTGTGATTTGCGCCAAGAGGCTGAATATTCACCTCAGAGTCCGCAGTGGAGGCCATGATTACGAAGGACTCTCTTTCGTATCCCAAATCGAATCCCCTTTCATTCTTGTCGACCTCTCCAAACTCCGGTCGGTCCAAGTCGACATCCCGGGAAACAGTGCTTGGGTTGAAGCCGGTGCCACCGTCGGCGAAGTTTATTATAGAATTGCTGAGAAAAGTAACATACATGGCTTCCCTGCAGGTCTTTGCACTAGCCTTGGCATTGGCGGGCACATCACAGGTGGTGCATATGGTTCGATGATGAGGAAATATGGCCTCGGTGTCGATAATGTCATCAATGCTCGAATCGTCGATGTGAATGGCAGAGTTCTCGACCGAGCAGCCATGGGAGAAGATCTTTTCTGGGCAATTAGAGGTGGTGGAGGTGCAAGCTTCGGCATCATCCTTCAATGGAAGATAAAGCTTGTTCCGGTCCCTGCTACCGTGACGGTTTTCACCGTAACCAAATCTCTAGAACAAGATGCTACAAAGATCCTTTCTAAATGGCAAACTGTTGCGGACAATCTCGACGATGATCTTTTCATAAGAGTCATAATTCAAGTAGCAAACGCCGGACGAAACAACTCCAAAACCGTGACAACGTCATACAACGCGCTGTTTCTCGGCGATGCTGAAAGGCTCCTCCGAGTAACGCAACAGAGCTTCCCCGAACTAGGTTTAACACGGAAAGATTGTACCGAAACCACCTGGATCAAATCCGTGCTTTACATCGCGGGCTACTCGAGCACCACTCCTCCAGAGGTTCTTCTCCAAGGCAAGTCAACATTCAAGAACTATTTCAAAGCCAAATCCGACTTCGTCGAAGAAGCCATACCCGAAACAGCACTGGAAGGTATCTGGAAAAGAATGGTAGAAGAAGACAGTCCATTGATGATATGGAATCCATATGGAGGAATGATGTCGAGGATTTCTGAATCCGAAACCCCTTTCCCGTATCGACAACGGACCAAATTCAAGATCCAGTACGTGACCTCTTGGCAAGACGGCGACAACAACGCGTCGAAGCATATCGATTGGATCAGGAGGCTGTACGATTACATGACCCCGTACGTCTCGATGTTCCCCCGAGGTGCATATGTGAATTACCGGGACCTTGATTTGGGGATGAACAAGAACATCAACACGAGCTTCATCGAGGCTAGCCGTTGGGGAGTCAGTTACTTCAAGGATAACTTCATGAGATTGGTGAAAGTGAAAACCAGAGTTGATCCCAACAATTTCTTCAGGCATGAGCAGAGCGTCCCGTCTCTTCAGGGTCAAGCTAGATATTAGTATGAATAATGCACTTCACTTTTGTCCTTAATTTGTACCCTGATGTTGCTTTTATCTCAAGAAAAGAAATAAATATTCTTCACTACTACTATATAATATGTTAAGGGTTTTGGTATCCCTATTAGGTTTGTTTGTATTTGGATTCAACTTTTGTATTTTGAACTTGTGTAATCCCTTAAACTCATTGAATCACATAAAGATGAATGGTTGCGGTTTATAATAAACTTTATTTGTCATTTTTGGAATTGTGTTAAAGTTTGTTTTATATAATATGATGAGGTTTGTAAGTCAAATAAATTTAATACTAAAATTGATTGATATAAGATGATATAAATATAATATGGGTACGCACAAAGATCAACGTCAGTGGTTATAAGAATAGTTACCACATTATCAATTAGTGAAACATTAATGAAAACCCAGGGCTTGGAAAATGAATCAATACAGAAAATTACATCCTAACTATGGTATTCAACTATGTTATTCGGAGTGAAGTGTGAGTATCATATGCTAGTTGGTGCTTGCTTTCATAAACAAAAGGGAGAGTAAACCAAATTATTTAGTATCGTTTTACAATACAATGCAAGAATTTACTTTCATGTATAACAGTGAACCTATAATTATCATGTTCAAATTAATGAACAGGATGTAGTTTTTCTACTGTTTGAATTCTCTTAACAGCAACATTCAAAAGCAGTTAAACACCAAACAGATCTTACAAGGCATCAGGTGGCTTTTAATTGTTCCTTTCACTGCATAAATTTTTTTCTTGAATTTAACATTGAATGGAGGTAAAAATCCTAATAATTCTAAATAATTAAATTGGAACTAAAGAGTTAGAAGAGAACTTAAACTATCCTAACCGACAACATCTTCTTCTTTTCTGGAATTGAATTTAGTACACTTATATGTATAATTTCCACATGACGTGCAACGAATGCTCATTGGAAAAATCATTCTAACATTAATTTGCTGAGTTCTTGGTCCACGGACCCTCAGTAGCTTCCAAGGATCGAAGTCGGCCGGATAGTATTTGTTAATCACTTTCCTCTCCGTCATCACTGTAGAAACAAAATTTTATCAGTGTCAGATAATTGTTATTTCCAAAGTTTGTATGTTCAATTTGCAGCAGGTTGCTAAACATAGTTTAAAGCAAGAAGTTGAAACTAAAGAATTATGATAATTGTCGAAACGATTCTTTGTTTGGATTAAAAAAACACATTTTTTAATTATCTTTTGATTAATTTTTAATTAAAAGTAATGTGATTTTAAAAATTCTCTTGAAAAATTTGGGATTCCCTTTAAATAAAATAAAATACGATTCGATGAGTCGCAACTAATATTTAATTAGGGTGTGATTGGGCACCAAAAAACATATTTGCCATTTTAATAAAAATATTAATTTTAATTAAAACAACAACTTTACGGTCTGCGTACCAGAAAATTGAGTTCGGGAGTCGGTTACACGTGGGGAAGGATTAGCACCCCCCACAACGCCCTAAATCGGTACCTAGTCGATTAATTAATTGTCTTTGCAATGAAATTTACAAGTTCGAATTTAATTTAATTTAAGATCCCTTAAAACAACATTCGTGAACTTTAGAATGAAACTAAGTAATATTTAATTATTTCCTATCGAAAAGAAACGACATCTCGTACCTTGAGACAATCAATTCTTACTCCAATCGAAATAAAGAAATATTACGGTTTCATTGTAATATTCAAATGCACGAAATTAAACAAATTTAATTAAAACTTACCAATCCTTTTAGAAAGAAGAAGAATATTCGATTATTTAAAGACGTCGAGATCGGACCTTAGATAAGTTCTAACGATCTTTTCTCGAAGAATTTATGTTATACCCCAAATATTAGGCCAGGGACTGTATTGAACAGATTTGAAATTTAATTGAATAAATGGTAAAAGATGAGGAAAACAACGTAGGGGTGAGCATTCGAACGGGTCGAGTAAAAAAATTTCAAGTTATTTGAGTTGACACGTTGTATTTTACAACTTGAACTTAACTTGAAATTATTTTCAGTCGAGTCGAGTTATTCGAGTTTCTATACTAATTTTATTATAATTATTTATAGTATTATGGTAAGAATGTGTTCCAATTTTTTTTTACTTTCTCTGGTCATATAATATATATATATATATATATATATATTCACATTATAATTTTATTTAATATATTAAATACAATCTAAAATTATGAAATATATTCATAATATTATATTTAAAGAAATTATTATGAGGGTAAAATATTGATGAGAGTATAAAGGAGTAAAGGAATTGATGGGTAGAAAGAATTTGCAAACAATTGTAGTCAAAAGACCAAATTGAGTTAAATATAAAGTTAATGGACTAAATAAAAAGAAGAAGTACATTTTTGTATAAAAAAAGTAAGAATTGAAGCTACATAGGTATTCTATTGCGGTAAAATAAAGGATGAAATGAAGAAATATGGAAAATATTAAAAATTGAGAGACTAAATTGAAAAATAAAAAAATTGTTATAAAAAAGAGGAATTGAAAGTACACATGTATTCTATGATGGTTTAGCAACATGTGGTTCAAATTTGATAAAAAAAATAAACTTAAAATGAAGGAGAAATTTAAGGAATAATGGAATCAAAGACTAAATTATAAAATTATCAAAATACTTAATCAAATTTTTTATCTTTCAAGTAATTCGAAATTTCAAAATTTCACATCGAACTCAAAAGCTGAATTGATAATTTGATTTGTCTCGAATAACTTGAAACTGAAAAAAAACAAAATTTCAAATCGAGTCGGGTTTTGCTCACCTTCAAACAGTGGTACTATCGAACAAAATGCGTAGAATCAGAGAGAATTACCAGAAGATTCATTTAGGGAATCACATCCAAAAAGGAAGGCATACACTTGGTGAAATGGGATGATATGTGTCGACTAACCTCTCACGGAGGACTTGGATTCCGAAAATTGGAAGTGCAAAATGAACCATCATTATGAAGACAACATTCAATCTCATTGCTAAGAGTAAGGCACAATGGGTGCGGTTTTTAGGAGCAAAATACAAGTGTACCGAGGAAGTATCAAACTCAAAACTGCTGGAGATTGTGGAAGGGATTGAGTGTCGTATGGAATGATGTAAGGAAAAATATTCAATGGTTCATTGGCAAAGGGACCAAAACTGTCTTTTGGTTTGATAATTGGATCACCGACGTTGATCCACTATATAAACATGTCACACCCTAGAATTTCGAGCTTCTTAATTTATTAAGTAATTTATCCGAGGACCAGATTGCGAGGTTTTAGAAATGTAGGATATGCTCTGTAAGTTCATTTTTGTTCAAGGACTTGATAAAGAATTTACTCGTTTTCCTTTAGCTTTAGAAAACAAAAACAAAAACATGTGATTATAAGATTTGAACTCTTGTCCTATTGCTACCTAAGGGTGTAAAAGTTGACTCGAATTGTAAAATCAACTCGAGTCGAAATTGTTTTTTACCTGTGATGTGACGACTGAAAACCGACTTGAGTCAGAATTAGTATTGACATGTACCCGAGTTGGACCTGGAAATTTTGGATATGCACCCGACCTACACCCGACCTGAGAACGACCTGAACCCGAATTGAACCGAAAATATGATACCCGAACCCGAACTGCAATCGACTTATATGAACCCGAACCGGATATTGACCCCGTAAATAACTGGTATTACCCGACCTGTTTTCAACATGACCTGTAAATGATCCGACTTGTTATTGATCTGGTAAATAACTAGTATTACCCGACATGTTTTCAACCCGACCTATAAATGATCCGACTTGTTATTGCCCTGATCTGACATTTACCTGACTTATATTACCATTGATGAAATTATAAGATTTTAATAAAATTGTGAGATTTTAAGTTTATAATAAATCATACTAATTAATATGATTAACTTTTAAATGTTATAATAAATTACTAATTATAATAATTATATTATCATTCTTATGTTATAAATCTTCAATATAATCATTAATTTTATTTTATTAAATAATTTATGTATTAAACATTATTAATTAAATTAATTATTATGATTACAAGTTAGAATAATTTATTGGCATTAAACTTGATCAATAAAATTATTTTAAATGTAAATTATATAGTTTAATTTATGTAAAGAAAATTTATCTAACAATTATAACATATATAAAATATTAATTCATATTGATAATTGTCATTGTAACACCCCAATTTAGGGGCTAAATTTTTGGAATTATAAAGTGGTGGATTTAATTGGTATTTTGGGAAGAAATTTGAGGATTAAATTGAAAGTTTTCAAAACCTGTAGCATGTTTTAGAGTTTAAGAAAATTCAGGGACCAAGCCCTAAATTTATCCAAATAGTGTCGGCAGACATATGTTATATACGTGATTTCTATTTTCAAAACAGAATTCAATTTCCCAAATTTTCTCCTCCAACGCCCAACTTCAAAACCCGATTTCGACGTCGTCCGACCTCCTATCATCGATTTGAAAACATCATCGTGTTCTTCATCAACCGATGAATAAAATCCTTAAATCTATTAAAGTGAAACACTGTCAAACGACGTAAATTTCGATTCAAAATTTTGACATTTTTTAGCACCACCGCCGAGAAAATCTTAAATTCATCACCGATCGTTGCTCCGTTTTCAACACCTCCCGCACCATCGTGTTCCTTGTGTCGTTTCGATTTCGTCGGTGTCCTCCTTGTCTCCGTCGGCGATGGCGCATGAGGAGGTGAAGAAGTCAAAGTTTCGAATTTGTTGAAATCGAGCTCTCCACCGTTTAAAATTTTGAACCGAGCTTGATAAGTGTCTCAAAATGCCATAAAATAATTTTAGAAAATTTTTCGGGATTTATAAGGGCTCTGAGGACGTCACACGCGCCCCACGTGCCGCCCCCTGCGTGTGGGGAAGTCTTGGTCGTAGATAAAAGAACTCGGGTGCTAGTTTTGTAAATATTTTTGGAATGATGCCTAATTTGTAATTAATTTATGTTAGGATTATATTTGTGTAAAATCGTTGACTGTTGACCACCATTAATCGTTGACTTTGACCGAAA